TATGCGTTTCAAAATGTATTAGATCTATTTATTATTAATTATATAATGTGGTAAACAACCATTTTCTAGTTACTATTACTGGGCGTTCAGTTTATTTCCAGCATACAACAGGCGAAATGGGACCAAGTCATCGAATTGTACGTCATCACATTTGCTAAAATATAAATGCTAAAATTCTATATTCAATCAATGTGGTCGTTCAGATCCATGTTTTATGTGTACAATTTCTAAACAATCGCTACCTGACACGAAATATTAACGCACATGTCGGTGTGGAGAATGTTATTGTTTACTTAACGCCCAACGATTTTCGTATCTCAAAACTGCATGAATAACGTTTTCGTACACTAAAAGATTTACGGAAACTGTCGATGTTTACGGAAGAGAGGCCAGTCGTTTGCATTCGTGACCAACTCGTGTTATTCCGGGACAAGCCGAATAGCGACTCGTGCCCCTCTGGAAGGATTTCATATTGGCGCATGAACATCAGAACTACTTTAAAAAAGAACGATAACTCTATCCCTGTTTGATTCCAACGTTTCTTAATATCACCGAAGCACATGTACATTGTATTGCTAGGTTGTTGTTTTGGGGTTTTGTTTACTTACTTATTTTAAATAATTAAACCTCTTTGATACAACTAAAAGAAGGAGAAAAACATATTTGTTAGACATATTATAATGTAATTATTACCAGCTGTTCACTTTATATTTCCAATTATGTTAATTTTCTTAATAGGGTTTAATTGTCACAAATGGGAATTGTTTTATTGAATATACAAAAAAAATAAAAATAAAATAAATCATCTACATTAAATCCCAAATGACTTTAAAATATTTCTCAAACTGAACATTCGTGTAACCTTGCTGTCACACCCCTGGTGGAATTTCAAATGAATTCGCTGAAAAAAATATTAATGACCAAAAAACACTCAGACTAAAATATCCCCAGAGCTATGAAATATAAGCCCAATGTTAAAGATTAAAGTTGATTAGTTACATACAAATACGATGTTATTGTTTTGAAACTCGTAGCGATTATAATTACATTTCCTATAATTGGTCGAAGCGCACGTACAATCTCCATATCAAGCCCGCAAGATCGTCAGAAATACACTCAGTTGGACCCATGAGACCAGTGATGTCAACAAACGCACGTGCGTGTATTTGAATCTCTCACCGTCAATCGCATGATTCTTATTAAAAACTTCATAATAGGCAGCAAAATCCTTTTGGCTACGTTCTTTGTACTTTCAATATGACGATATATAATTTTCATGATTCTTTAAACAATGACATAATGCCATAAACGAATTAAGTACTCTGGATTATTTTTATCAAAGCACCGCGCTCATTTACGCGCGTTCTGATTGGTTTGTCGTATTTTCGCACATAACAAGTATCGAGTGGGGGACGAGTCATCTTGGAGGTTACGGAAAGGGGCGAGTGGTGACGAATGCAGTCGTTTGTTCAAAGCAGAGGGTAGTGCTAATGCGAGGGTCAGTGGTCAAATATGAAATGCAGTTAGGCAAATTGAATACGATGAGCAGAAAGGTAAAAGAATGACCTACAAGCTCAACATAGTTTTTTGTGAACGTTAAAATATTCGGGCTGTCCAGTTTTCGATCAAGTTGATAGGATCACGAGTGTGACCTTTGTGTATTTTATGCAACGAGCGTAGCGATATAATGTTCTTAATTATTCATTTCTTCACCTATTTATTTCAAAATTGAAACATATCTTAATCATAACATATAAAAACAATATATGATTGCAAAAGTCTAGATTTTATATTTGTGTTTATTTTATTGTCCAACAGTGATTCGAACCCCAGTGCTCAATTGGACCCATGAGAGCAGTTATGTCAACAAACGCACATGCGTGTATTTGAATCTCTCACCGTCCATGGCACTATCCTTACTAAAATCTACACGAGGCAACACAGTTCTGTTAGCTACGTTCGTTGTGCTTTCAATATGACCATATGTTTTTTTCATGAAAAGAATGACATAATGCCGGATGTAAGTACCGGGGATTATTTTTATCAAAGCACGGCAATTATTACGCTCGTTCTGATTGGTTTGTCGTATTTTCGCACATATCGAGACGGGGACGAGTCTTCTTCGAGGTTACATAAAGGTATGATAAACTGTCATGAACAGTCTTTCCAACTTCCGGTTACTGGTTGCTGAACGTGATATCAGACACGTCGTCTTTTGAGGAAAATAGATCACTTAATTCTTTCTAATTAAACCAAAGAGAAAACCTTGACAAAATCAGTCGCATGGTATGCTGTCTCGACTAATATTAGTTGTATTTTATTTCCTTCCATATGACGGAAATAGACAGCGAAATTGACGAAAGCACCCATTTTAGTATATTAACCGTTGTAGAATTAAAATATAGCCACGAGCAGCGAAGTAGGGCTCCTTCGGTTTGATACAATCTAGCCACTTGTACCTGTGATGTAGATGTTGAAAGTAGTAATGGCTACTGTTAATAGGGATCATACTTTCCAATTAACTTCTTGTTCTTATTTACTGTACATTTGATTCATGCTATTTCATTTACCTCGAACAAGCATGAACAACATATGTACCAAACGGTGTTACTATCCACATGCACCACAGAATATCAGCAAACGTTTGGGACACATACTGCTAACTTTCATCATGCACTGATAGCAACTGTAGTGTGGAAAATATAATCATTTGTCCCTCTGAACTTCCCATGGGCTCCCCCTTATCCCCCATCCTAACCGAAATTTACATGACGGACCTGGAAGATAAAGCACTAGATACTGCTACCCTTCAAACCTACATGTTGGTATCGCAAAGTGGATGATACCTTCGTCATCCTCCAACCTCAGCAAGATCCCACTCAGCTTCTCACCCATCTCAACAACCAACATCCCCGCATCAAGTTTACCATGGAAACCGAGCAGAACCAGCAACTACCTTTCCTTGACGTCCTTCTGTCCCGCAACTCCTGCAACCAACTCCAGACCACTGTATATAGAAAACCTACCCATACGGATCAGTACATCCACTACAACTCCAATCATCCACCTAAAGTTAAGACCGGCATCATCTCTACATTAACCAGAAGGGCCAAGAACATCTGTTCAACTAAACTACAAGATGAAATCGAACACCTCAAGAAAGTCTTCGTAGAAAGTAACCACTTTCCATCCGAAATAGTCAACAGAACCATCGCTGCAACCCTGTCACCTCCTACCAAAAGACCCAAACCAGATTCAGCCCCCATCAAGATATCCATCCCCTACATCGGCAAACCGTCACATCAAATCAGCCGTCTCCTAAAACAACAAGCTGGCATAGATACCACCTTCTCCGCGTCCTCCAGCCTTAACAACATTCTCCATGCCAATGGAAGAAAACCCGCCACCGTAAAGAACAACCCAAAATGTGTCATCTACAAAATAAACTGTGATTGTGGGCAGAGCTACATAGGCGAAACTTCCCGACCCATCAACACCCGAGTGAAAGAACATCAGACCTCTGTTACCAATTCCGACAGCAAATCAGCCATTTCCGGCCACATCAAAGCAAGCCCCAATCATCAAATAGAGTGGTCTGACATCACCATTCTCTCTAAAAAACAAACAGACTTCACTCAACGCAAGTTCACCGAAGCCATCCCCATCAAACGCCAAAAGCCCACGGTCAACCGAGACCAAGGATACTTCATTCGTTCCGCTTATGATGCACTCATCCACCAAGCCCAATCTACTGTATAAACTCTGCTGTATAAACATCTCATTATTATTTGTACATCATTGGCTTCCACGCCCGTCCTTTGTCTACTCTTTGGCTTCATCAGCTTTCTGCCTAGCCAATTATGTTATTTATGTTGTTTTCTTTGTTACATTGTTACATCCAGTATATATACACTTCCCCCTTCTTCATGTTCCTTTATGCTTGACAACGGTACAAGAATCTGTATCGAAACGTCGCACTCACGAATAAAAAGAAGTCGTTATCCATAAATTTTGTTCTATATTTGTCCCTCTGTTGTGTTTGGAGATACATTACTGAAATCGGCAGATATGATCAGGAATAACAGCCTACATGTACAGGTAAATTTTAGTCGAAATCGGACGGTTGGTTTCAGAGTTAAGGTTGTTTGAAACGTATTTGAGGGCTTTAAATCGTCCAAAACAGAGTCAGAACACATTTTTGACAGGCGAGCGGATCTTCCAAATACAGCCGATGTCGCGGGGTCATGTACCTTTTAAGAAGTTCCGGAGAAGAAATAGTTCCCTTTTTGACAGGCTGTAGCTCCGTTGTCCTTCGGTCTATAGTTAAAACAATTAGTGTTCTGGAATCGCCAGGACTTCAGCTATCAGATTCACACACACACACACATGACATGCGGACGGACGGAAATGCCTACCCGTCAAAAACGTGAAATTTCCTTAAATCCAATATGGCGGCCAAACGGTGTCTCGTAGCCCCATGGATCCTGCAGTTGACATTGAAGGTAATCGGATTCCAGACCTGCTCCAGAAAATTTGGTAGTCATCGGACTTGTAGTAATTGCTTTGGAAATTGAAAATTTTGAATTATATCCCCTTTGCTATTAGGCCTAGAGCCTTGAGATTTTTGCAAAAACAACTTCAGCACTGTCGGCACCTTGGTGATTTTTTTCAAGCGATTCTGTCCAGCGGTGCTTTTTGTAGGACTGGTACAAGATACGGCGGAATAATAAATAATAAAAACATTAACGATTCCAATAGGTATCCTGCCTTGTGGCAAGGAGCCCTAATAATATCTTTCATTGAAACACCAATTTTAAAAGACGATTATGTTTAATTACGATGCAAACACACATTGTCGCATACCTGGAATTTGATCAGAGGGGAAAAGCACATGCTTTTATAATAAACAGCTGACTGAAAAACGCGTTTGATAAACAGTCTATGATGGTACACCCGAGTAATTCTTCCTGAGGTCGACAGTGAACAGAAATGCATATATATTAAGGTACTCGGTGTTTTATTTCAGTAGACAATGATGCTTATCTTACAGTGTACCCACATTTTTAACATATTCGGATTCGAATACATAACTGTAAAATGTTTACACAATCTTAGTATCTAGTAACATTAATGGCATCATAATTCATGTAACGAAAATCAAATAAGTTTCCTGTTTCAAGAGGAAATAATATTTAATGATTAGCAAAGTCTGAACACGCCCATAAATCTCATTGATTTTGGTAAGATTTTTCTGTGAAGGAAGGAAATGTTCCTGGATAATCCCTGAAAAGAGTCACCAAAGGGTGACCTCTAATGATATTTTTATGTTTTATTTTGAAATGAATGATGATCTACCTGATTCGTCACAAGCCTACGCTGGGATATGAGACCCAGGCATACTTCAATCTTCTTTCACGTACTGTCAGTTATGTACGAAGCCTTTATACATGGTAGCAGGCAAAAGTGCCTCAAATTCTTGTTTTGTAGAGTTCCATTTGTTGTACGTGTCTTGACTAACTTCTACTAGCACTAGCGTCACTTCGATCTTTCTGACATTCTGTTTAGAGCTCTGTAAATCACACGAAATGAGGGACAGATCGACTCTCCATTTCTTTACCACTTCTCGATTTCTCATGAATACAGGTATGGTACAGACGCAGATTTCACTAACTGGTGATTGCTAAGGAGTACTATTCCTACGATCACCAGTGATTGTAAGATATGTGTTTAGTGACGTCATGGGTATGTAACCACTTTTAAACGAAAGATTAGGCAAAGAAAGACTTTCTGTGGTATGATGCATTTCAATTGATGAAGATGGTGACTTGTTCACATCAGCTCGCTCTGTATTCTGACATGGATATGGCTTCGTAGGAGACATTTTATCGGCCCAAGGTTTTCTGTTTGAAGGTGAGATTTCATTGATGTCTTCATATTGAGCAGGTCTGCACATGGCTGAATTTGAAGGACATATGGCGTCATACTCGCGTACGACCTCGTCTATGACCTCGTAATGATGGGTAGCATCTGGAGGAGGAGGAGCTGGATACTGTGGGCGCCTTCTCAGTGTTGACTGATCGAGGCCTTTCATCGTAATCCTAGAAAAGGAGTGAATGCGTGAGTGTGATTTTATGCAACTTTTAGCAATGTTTCAGCAATATCGTGGCGGGGGCACCAGAAGTGGGCTTTATACATCGTACTCATGTGGGAAATCGAACCCGTGTCTTCGGCGTGACCAGTGAACGCTTTAACCACTAGACTACCCTACACCCCCTATAAAAGGAAACAACAGTACCACATAAATGTCAGAAGTCAGATCCTAAATATCTGGTGCATAATTTATACGTTGCAGTTATTGCTGTGCATTAAATTTGAATTTAAAACTGATGATTATTTCAAAAATATATGTATCTCACCCTACGATTGCCACATACTTCCCAAATCAGTAGATGTCAGAATTTAGGTATGCACTATTTGTACCTTTTACTGATGAAAATGAAAACTGTTATCACAGTGCACACAGTGACAAGGGTCCCCACTGTAATGACCACAGCCTTCACGGTCACTGGATCCGGCGTAGTCGTTGTGACGTTGGTTGTCATAATTACATCTGAAAAAATGTGTCTACATATATTAACTATTTTAAATTAGATCTATGTTACCATGTCAGTAAAAAATTTAAAAACCCGTCTAAACAAAGGGAGAGTGATGGCAGCTTATTCTCTTGTCCACAACTTAAGCAGGTACATATTGGATGTCATATATCTCAGATCTTTACAAAAAATCCTGAATACATATATCTTCGGCAAACAATTTCCTCAACACATGCATATTTAAAGTTAGAAGTACCGATGCAAGCATGTATTCGTTTGTTTCTTTAACGTTGCTATCTGCTTCCAAGATTTACTCATCGTGGTCAACTATTTTCAAATGGACACTTGCCCTTACAAATAATTTCATATTTACATTCTGTTTCCCGGTGCTGATATTGTGTAATTGTATTGATACTAACCAATGTACACACCATCTATGAGGCTAGTAACATAAATAACCCGTGAAGATCCGGGTAGGAACTGGTCTTCAGCAACCCATGTTTGTAAGAGGCGACTATCGGGATCGGGTGGTTAGGCTCGCTGACTTGGTTGACACATGTAATCGCATCGCAATTGCGTAGACAGATTCTCATGATGTTGATCACTGGATTGTCTGGTCTAGACCGCCGCCATATAGCTGGAATACTGCTGAGTAAGGCGTAAAACAACCAACCAACCATCTATAGTGGTAGTAACTGAAATACCTTGGCTACTGGTGGTCGATTCGTGACTGGGTTTCCGGAAGACACATGTCCCCTCATATCTGTCACAGGACCTCCCTGAACACTGGATGCTACACTTCTTATCGCATCTCCAGCCATAGTATCCCGTCTCACATCCATTGCATTCACCTGTTCCTTCATGGCATTGGTTGTTTATACAGTTGGTGCAGTTGGTATTGCACTGTGGACCATAGACTCCTGGCTCACAGCCGTCGGTGCAGTTGCCGTTGACTCTATGACATTGGCGGTTCTTGCAGGAAGTACTGCACTTGAGTTTACACAGTGTACCGAAATATCCAACTTTGCATCCATGAAGACATTCCCTAAATGCCCACAAGAACTGGCCAAACACTTTCCACTGCACGGAAGATCACAGGACAAGCCGAAATACCCTGCCTTGCATCCATGAAGACAATGACCTGTTTCCTGATCGCACTGAGATGTACAGTTCCTGGACCTGTGTTTATCACAGACATTTCTTTGAACGGAGCGGTTTTTCTGATCAGTGAGTCTGCAATGGGGATTGCACGGAACATGACAGAACCTTCCATAGTAGCCAGTCAAACAGCCGGCAGCACATCCACCAGAGTCACAGGAATTCTTGCAGAAGCGGCAGTCTTCACATTTTGGCCCAAAGAAGCCTTTGATGCATTCTGTACACTCTCCTGAGTTTCTATGGCATTTAACACATCTAACTGGGCACGTGGTGTCACACCGTTCACCCCAGTATCCGTCTTTGCATGCACACATGCCACTAGCGGAGTGGCAGTCATTGTTGACACATCCTGAAGAGCACCTGATCTTGCACGTAGATCCCCATGTTCCTTTCTTGCAGCCGTCAGTACAGATGCCTATACCTTTTGTGGGATGCAGCTGACATCTCCTGAACAGACAGCCTTCACCGCATCTAAATGTGCATTGGTCGCCATAGTATCCGTCTTCACAAGCACCTGCGCCTGATTTATAGTGGGATGACCCTTGAAGTGTAAATTATATATGATGATAGTAACATACAGCTTATACAATGAATAACTGACAAATAATTTATATGGAAACACTAATGTAATGCTGACTTCCATTTCATTTCTAATTACGAAAAAAATTTCAAGGTCGCGGGTAGTGTTAGGATAATTGAAAAATCGATATTAAAGTATCTGAACACTCCATCGACAGTGATTAAGAGAACTGGGATTATCGCCGCCTTTAGCAGTATTCCAGACATAACACTGAGTGACCGTTAAATGTGGGAGGAAATCCCGAAGGAACATATGTCTCAGAAGTTAACCCCGTGGTGAAAACCGTGAGTAATAGCATGGTGCTGACACACCAAGAACCATAGCCTGGGTGAACCGGGATTCGAACCAACGCCTTTCATATGTGAGAGATATAGAGAGATATACACCGAGAGTAGCACCTTAAGAACGCCTTACAGTTCAAAACGTCTTATCATAGTTAATAAATCAAATTCACTTACGTGAAAATAGTGTCGTTTAGTCCATGTCTTTATTACTTAAACGTAATGCTATAGAAAGGATGGGCTGGAAATACATCCATCGAGAAACCAACAGTAAAACAAACGTTGATTGATGTCTGTAATGAGTATAAACAAAGCTGTTCCAATCACAACAACCCCAGGGATTACGCTTTTAGTGAGTGAGTGAGTGAGTTAATATTTAACGTCACAGATTACACTTTTAAGACTGGAAATCAGTAACCTCTCACAATTCTGATTGAGAAAGTCAAGAGAAAAAAACCCAATGTTCCAGTTTCACAATCTAAAGGATTATCATTAGTTTTCTAAACTTTGGTTGATTATGTTGATTTTGATCACCTTACCTGACTTGAATTAGAAGAGCTATAACAATCAACTGTAATCACTAAGGATGATAAGCATGACTTAATAAACTTATCGTTACACTTCATACTCCCTAAAGCCATGGAACAGACTTTCAGTCAATCTGTCAAATAAATTGACTAATATTTAAGGCAATTTACAAATTACTGAGTAAATCAGGCAATTTACACATTGACTGTAACATATATACAAAGTACGATGCTCACCTGTGAGGAAGAGGAATAACGCTAGAAACAATGAGTGGTGCTGTAGCGGAGTCCTCATTCCTTCATTACATGGAGGAGATACCATGTTAAACTAACCGTCTACAGTCTAGATCAGTACACGAGTGTTGTTACTTCTCATACTTGATATTTACGAGGTGTCACGAAGCTTTCAGTTTCAGACATTAAACAAGATTTAGTAACCTTGAATCAAAAGGTTGACCGAAAGTGTGCAGGGAATAAGAACTCATATATTTGCGTTATGACAATACCGTGTCTATTTTCATCCAACTTCTGAGGCAAAGTTTTTAAAGGGAAGTGCAAACACAAAATAATTTTCTTTCCTGCATGAAACAAAAACGCATTTTTGTAATTAGAATTTTGTCCTGTATTGCCGAACACATTATTTCCGTTGTTTTTTCTAAACATTTATTGCTATGCGCATTGTTTCAAAACTCGTCATTCTCTGACGGGGAATATCGCAGTCTGAAGAGAAAGTCGATAAAATACAAATTTGGAAAACATACTCGGCTTTATCCGAACACATTCATCCATGTGTTCTGATCGGGAGCTCTCAGCTCTCTTTTCAAGGGCAGTGGGGTTAAGCGTTAAAGCGTTCGCTCATCACGCCGAAGACCCGGGTTCGATTCCCCACATGAGTACAATGTGTAATGCCCATTTCTGGTGTCCCCCGTCGTGATATTGCTGGAATATTGCTAAACGCAACGTATTTAACATATTTCACTCACTTAGCGAGCAAAGCTATCCAAAGTATTGTGAGTTTGGTTCAGAAAAGGGTTGTCATTCATGACTTGAGTTTTGAATGAGGTGCGTTTATGCAAAACAACGTGTAACATTATTTGTCAACAACCTGTTGCAAGATGTACCTAATCTGAACTATACTTTCATTGCTTCCTGCAGTTTTTCGGCAACAGACCGGCGAAAGAAACCATTCATCACCCGGAATAACACGCGTGTGTCCCGATTGGATTTTAACTGGCTGAACTGAACTATCACGTGATAGGGGTGAGGACCCACACACCCACCCCCTAACCTTTGGACTTCATGATTTGTGTGCAGACATATTACCACATATAAAAAAAAATTGCCCTAAATCTATAACTGATATTTTTATTAGTTTATATCTAAAAAAGCTTGTGGACTGCAACTGGAGGCTGTTTAGATATTAATTTACCTTTGTCAAACCAACTGTGTTAGCTCCAAGCACGCTTCTTTTTCATGTCAAAGCCATGACCTTGTCCATAACTGACCTCTGAATGTGGAGTTTCATTTATTCCGTGTGACTTTTTTTGTATTTCTGTTCATTATGGAAGGGGATTGTGTTCCCAGTGTGACGGGACTTCACCTGACGAACGTACAAGACAAAAGTGCCTTTCGGCGTACTCGTATAGCATGGTTTATATATATTTCACATCACTGGGCTCCAGATAACTTTTGGGGGTGTGAGTGTACTTACACCTCACATTGCAAGTGGAAGTGTATAGAGAATTTTGAAAGAGTACTGACATTTTTTTGTGTGAGCGAGTGGGTGATGTGGTTTGTTATTTATAATATTAAACAACTTTTCAGCTATTAAACTTTATATATGTTAGACGTACAACGGCATTTATGTGCGTACACGATACGCTTGAAATCTAATATTATGTCGTCCTTCATTGATTTTTTAGGCGTGCATTACGTCTGTACGTCCCTTACCTGTTACCCAGTCACATCGACAATTGCTACTGAATATTTCTATTGACCTACTTAACGGGTGGATTCTGATATCCTACATTAACAATTTTTATATAATTGGGTATTTTTTATGCATTATTGTGTCTTTTGTACAAAGGAAATAAAACATCCACTTAATATGCTTGGTACTTGATTCCGGTGAGTAGGGGAACGCCACTCTAAACAGCATATGACGACCTGTCTGCTTGTATGACGACCGTGCCATTATTGCCGCCGTGTGTATGGAAAGTCTGCACATTGTCCATTGTGTTGACCTCACCCAGAGACATCGCCCATTGGAGATTATGTTTCTTGATATGCAAGTTAAACATAATCCTGAGGCTTTAAATGACACACAATATAAGTAAGTTCAAAAATGTTAACTAGAACACAAATAAAGTTTTGCAAAAATTCCAAACGCACAGGTATTTTTTGCAACTATCTTTTGTCATGTTCTTTTCGTTGCATGTAACGTATTCATGAACTTTCTCCCGTGTCAAAAATGATATGTAAAAATGTTAAGAGGAACCTTTTACTCCGGTAACGTGACTAACCTGATGACAACGTAGTGTCAGATTGCTGAAGATATCAAGCATTCCTTATTCTCAGTCATCCATCACGTGTAATGCTAAGTTTGTTTATAAACTCCTTGAAAAGGAAGGGATATTCCATTTTGGGTTGTCATTATTTGGGAACCAATTGTACGATTGTATGGATTTAGAAATATTTATTCCATTCACAACGTGTAACGAATTACGTACAAACATGCTAATTCCGTGTAACCGTTTGTCATGATGTGTACGTGATCGAACTCCGTTAAACTGGATTTTTTTACAAGCATTTTCTGTCACGTCAGCAACGGTTACATGCAATTGCCATGTTGGTAGTTTGACCAAGACAGAGCATTGTATCACAGTCAGTAATAATATTACATGTACAATCACGATATCAACCGACAAACAACGTTGACACACGTGGCGCATGCGCCTTTTCCATTCTTGACCTACTCGTGTTATTGGTCGTTTTGTGTTTCAGGATGACAATGCAAGATAACATGGGGCTCGTAGTGTTACTGAGTACCCCCACCAGTAAAAGATAACCACTGACTGACTGACTATATTCTATTCTCTGGCGTTGACGTTCTATATTATATTGAACACGGATCAAAGCGACCCCACCCAATATTGCCTATGAACTGCGTTATATCATTGCAGGTCGTGATATAGCTGGTATATTGTTTACAACGAACATGTGTTTACGGGTATTAACAATATTGTTCCAGGAAGAGAAACCTAACTATTCAGTTCAATATACCTTAAGATATAAGTTTATGGACCCGCGTAAGCTAAGAGTGGTGTTATCTGTAGAGTACAGATAAAGGATTTCATTGTGGCACACAAAAGAAATGTTGTGGCTGTTGTTAGTTTGAGTAGAAAACATTTGCTTTGAATATACTGTCTTTTGTTATCATGTCTGATAAAATTTCACCTCAATGATCTTACTTCTGTATGCATGCACTGAACACCAACGAAGCACAACGATGAATCACGCGGGATTCATGTTAACAATACCGTGAGTTCAGTAACAGCCAGTAGTGTATTGCCATGTATCGGGTCACATGGAATAGATTCTTTGCACGGTTTTAGCGCTATTGGCTATTTAAAGCAGTGTTTGGTATACAGGCAACACAGCTAATGAAGCACATCAGCCACTCGCGGCACTCGAAGGCAAGTTTCTAACAGTAAACGGTATGTACTATTTGTGTTTCAGTGTTACCTTCGCATAACATATCCAGAACGTATCCATGTATTGGTGCTGAAGAAGCGATATTATTTTCCAAATTTATCAGTGGTCTAAACATTTACTCCAACATGGTCAGAAAACATTTCTTGTTTGTTTGTTTGTTGTTTAACGCCACTCTAAGCAATATTCCCGCTGTTTTGTTGTTTGAACATATTTTATTCAGTGTTGAAATGGATTG